ACTTCGTATTCTCTCTCGCAGCGGCAGTCGCCTATTATGCGAGTACAGCCCTTAACTCCGTGCCCACCTGCCGTCAGCGTCGGCGCGTCCCCGGTCGGCAGAGAGACCCTCGAGAAGCCCTGCCCTACCTGCGGTGCGCGGCGCGGCGCGGCCCGGTGTTAGAAGGAGGGGCCACGCCGCGTCCCCAGATCGCGGAGATCCGCTGCGGCGCCCACCGGGGTCCTGCGTCTTCCCCCGAGCGCTCCGGAGACCCTCCGGCGGGCTGCGGGGCGCACTGCGGGAAGCTCAGAATCCTGCGTCCGTCCCAGCCTTGCGAAACCCGGTTCCTCTGCGCCCCAGAAAGCGCGGGTCAAATAAATGTGAAACTCGGGTGGGTGGGGAGCTCGAGTGGATGCGGGTGTTCGAGCGCCGTGCCGCCCCGGCCGCCGAAGCCAAGGAGGTTTTATCCTTGTGGATTGAATCAGCCCGGGCCTCTCTGGCGGTCAAGGGTCCGGTCACTTGCTGCCTCGCTGGGCTGTAAGCTCTTTCTTCCATTCCTGGAGTAAGTCGTGCGGCCACCAGAGGGCACCCCATGGTGTCCAGAGTTAGAGCCCTAGGACACCCCCAGGAGATGCGAGCGAGGAGTGTACTCTCCCCCTGTGACCCATGACACTCCCATCTGTTTGCTCCGGACCAACCCTGGTGCTGGCCCAGCTCAGGAAGAGACCCTGCACAGCCTGGAGGACCCCGAATGTAGACCGAAGACCCTGAGTGCAGGCTAGAGGCCACACATGTCCGCTGAGGACAAGCAGCCTGCCCTGGCCCTCAGTTGATGGGCAGAGCACAGCTCAGCAGCTACTCTGGGCATGAACTCTGCCTGAGCCTGAGACTGGGTCTTGTTCCCTCCACCCACAGTTTCCCCAAAGGCCAGGCAGGAGGGATAGCCTTTGAGGGTCTCACCTGGGGACTCTGCTTGTACCCAAGGAAGTGGAGGCCAGTCTTGGGAGCCCCTCAGCCTGTGCTAATGGCTGTTGGTCAGAAATAGTGACACTCAAGCCAGGTGTGGTGGTGCATACCTGTAATCCCAGCACTTGGGAGATCATTGGGGATTCGAGTGGGGCGGGGAATGGGAGAGAAAAATAATAACTTTTTTTTTTTTTTTTTTTTGCGGTACTGGGGATTGAGCTCAGGACCCTGCACTTGCCAGGCAAACACTTATTCTACTGAGTTTCTCCCTGGCACATACTACTTTTAATGCAGGATCTGGGCCCTGCTGCCCTCAGGCACCCCCTGACACTCAGCCCAAGCTGGAAGAGAGGGACATTGGCCAGAGGCCCAAGGCCAGTCAGTGTTAATGCTGACGATTAGGCTGGGGTCCTGCTTGGAGAGACCCTGTCCAGGGACAGTATGGCCACTACTGGAGCCAGAGGCCATTGGGCTGGGACAGAAGTGCACCCTCAAGTACACCACACCTCCCAACCCATTCTCTACCCACCTTGGTTCCTACTCCTTGGGGTCCTAAGGGTGAATGCCACCTTTTCCTGTCCCCACTGCTCTGGGAGCAGCCAAGGTAGGGAATCAGTGGCCATTCAGCTGCTCTCCTCTTCTCTACCTCACTGGTGTAGAGAACATGCAGCCAGCTCATGGAGCTGGAGCCTATCATGGAGCTAGCCGGGGTAGCCCTAACCCCTGGCCAGGCCCTGCCCGAGTCTCCATCCAGGTCAGACCTGCGCCTGGTGAAAACTTCACACCTGCTTTTGCTTTTCCTTTTATCCTGTCCTGATATCTGTCCCTTAGATGACTGGACTAAGTGTCCCCTGTCTTCATCTGTTCCTCCTCCTCCTCATTCAGCAAAGGAACTAGAAATCTCCCGAAGAGTACAAGATTTGGCTTCAGTGTCCCCCTTGCAGGACACCTGCTCCTGGGAGGACCCAGACCTTCCTAAATGGTAGAGCAAGGACACTGGAGCATCACAGGAAAGTGAAAGCTCTGCCCCAAGGGGATAGAGGGAGTATTGTGGAAGCACACCAGGGTAGAGTCTAAAAATCAGACAGGCTTTACTGTGATGCAGCAGTTCCCCCAGCAGGAACATACACAGGGTATCAGTGTGGCAATACAGGCCACCCAGATCCATTGTCATCCCCCTCTCCATTCTCAGCCACAATAGAAGCCAGATGCAACCCCTGCCCCAGACTCAGCCTAGGGAGGCTTATGAATGTCAGAGGTCACATGGAGCCCAGTGACCACAAGTCTTGTGAAAATAGCCGGAGAAGGGTCAGAAGCACAGGAAGGGCCGTTGCTGCTCCGCACGACCCAAAGCAGTGGAGTCCCTAGGAGTCTTTAGTTTCCTTATAGGGCAGAGGGCAGCTGAGCAGGGCTCTGAGTAACTGTGGGTGCCTGGTGCAGTCTGGAAAGTCCACTTGGGGGGCTCCCCCAGGAGAAGTGAGGTGCCAGCCCTGAGACTGCTCCAGCCCCCCAAGGTTTCTGAGTCCCCTCTGGGATGTCTTCCTCCCCTGAAGAAAGGCTGGAGAGCCCAAGGGCTTGATGGGCATCACTGGGGCTGGGGGTGAGGGGGGCCATCAGTGACCAAGGGTGGCTGAAGGGTCGCGACCCTGCTGCAGCAGAGTCCCCAGAAACCCACAGTAGCTTCTTGAGAATGAAGATGGTGCCCCAGCTACTTTGTGCCGGCCAGCCTTAGGCCAACTTCAGGAAAGCGGGTCCAGCCGCTGGGAAGAAGGCGGCGAGCATCTACGGTCCTGGACTCTCCAGTCCTCGGGAGCAGAGCTGCAGCCGGGCCAAGAGCCCAGCATCGCGTTACTTGCAGTACTCTTTCCTGAACTCTGCAAGCCAAAGCACCACCCAGAGTGAGTGGGGCCTGCTCTGCTCGTCCACCAAGTGGGAGCAGCAGACATCCAGCTGGGCTTTCTGAGGGACTTTGGAAAAGAGGCAGTAATGGTCTCTGACCTATGGGGCTGACTGGGACTTTGCATTCTAGGGACCTGGGAGGGGCAGTTTGGGGTAGGGTGGGACACACCTTTGTCCAGGTCGATGTTCTTGGCAGGCAGGGGACTGTGGACCAGCTCAACCCTCTCCTTGAGGATATTGTTTTTGTAATCTGATACAGGGAGAACCAAATGAGGACCACCTAGAGTGGGCCTAGGCCTGCCAGGTCTGTGCCTGGGCGTCCTGACCCCTCCCCCTCCACACCTAGCTGGATATCCTCGCTCCTGTAGGGGGTCTGGTCTCCTGTGGCCACTGCAAACTCTGCCAGGTTCACGTCCTTCCTGGAGGAAGCAGAGGGGGGGGGGCGGGGGGGGCGGGGGCGAGACACTCACGCTTTGGCCTTCGCAGACTTCTGGTCTGTGTAGTCATAGCCTGCGTGCAGAAGGAAAGCACGTCGGGCCCCTGCCCGGGCCGCATCGCGTCCCCGCCCGCCCCAGCGCCCCGCCTCACCTCCGCGGCGGCGCTGGCGGGTGGTGAGGACGACGGTGATGAGCAGCAGGATGAAGAGCAGCAGCGTGGCTAGCACGTAGCCCAGCTGCTGGAAGAAGTGCGCGCGTCCCTCGGGGACGATGACGTTGATGACGCTGCGCCCTCGTGCCAGCGTGGGGTCTGCGGGCAGGGACAGCGTCAGAGCCGCGCGCGTCCCGCGCACCAAGCCCCGCAGGGAGGACACGCACCTGGGGCCGAGCCCGGAGAGGGGCGCAGGGGCGGCGGGGTCGCGGCGGGCTCGGCCACGCGCAGGTGGAAGACCCGGCGCTCGTGCAGGCCGCAGTAGTGGTGGTGCAAGTGGCAGGAATAGGTGCCCTCATCCGCTGGTTCCAGCGGGTCGATCCTCAGCGAGAAGTCCCCGCGCGCGAAGGCGTCGGCGCCGACGGCCACGCGGTCGCGCAGGAAGGGAGGCGCGTAGGCGCGGCGCTCGCCGGACGCGTACAGGTCGAGCAGGCGATCGGCGCGGTCATGCGGGACCCCAGGCGGTTGGCGATCCCAGTGTACAACCTGCTGCGCTTCCTCCAGGTGCCGCTCGGTCCACAGGAGCGCGCGGTTCACGCAGGTAAGCAGCGTCGGCGTGCCGCGCGCCGCGGTCAGCACCTCCTTCTCGCCATCCCAGTAGGCGCGCGCGGCCCGGGCTGCCGGAGAAGGGCGGCGGGATCAGCGCGCAGGGGGCAGTGGGGGCGGGGCCGGCAAGGCGGGGTCGGGCCCAGTGCACTCACGGTCGTCGGTCACCTCCAGACGAATGGCCAGGCTCTCATACAGGTGGCAGTAGTGGTGGTGCAGGTTGCAGGTGTACAGCCCCGCATCGCTTTCCTCTACCGCTGCCCGCGCAGAAAGAATTCGGAGTGAGTCCCAAGCCCCTTGGCCTGAGCCACCCCAGGGCCCCCTGGCAGCGCCCGTACCTCGAATGAGCAGGGAGAAATTGCCGTCGTGGAAGGCAGAGGGCGACAACAGCAAGCGGCCACGGTCCCGGGGCTGGTACACGCGTGGCTCACCGGCCGAGTACATATCCACTAGCCGGCGTGCAGGGCCGGGACCACCGCCCAGGTCCCAGTGGACCACACGCTGGCGGTCATGCAGCCGGTCCTGTGTCCACACCATGCGTGGGCTCTGGCAGCGCAGGACCGCCTGGCTACCTGCCTCCCAGGTCACTACAGACTCAGACACCACTGAGCTGTCGCTGGTCGCAGGCCCTGACCCTGGTGGGGAAGAGGCAGTTAAAGAGGGGCACTAGGGAACCCTAAGGGGATGGAGCTGTCATGATGAGCAGGGGACTGGCCCCCGCCTGAGGGGCAGTGATCACTCACCTGAGGACAGAAGGACAGTGGAGTCTGGAAGGAAAGAAAAGTGAGCCTGGGGAGGCACCTTTGCATGGAGTGACCCCAGTGGCAAGGGCAGCCACTTAGCTCCCTGAGCCCCTCCCTGTGATCTTAGGTGTGATACTGGAGAGATCAGAGCAGGGAGGGGGTTGTGCGGCCCAGCCCCCACGTGTCCTCACTTGGCTCGGGTCAGTGCAGAAACCACGGTTCCCCGGGGTGAGTGGTGGGCTGGGATTAGACCCTTTCCTTGCATTTAATGCATGGAGGTTGTCGCCAGGGGCCACATCTCAAGTGGACACCAAATCCACTCAGGGCACCTCCACCTGAGCCTGGTGCAGGCCCTGGGGCTGTGCACATCCTGGTTTGAAGGGGGCTCTGTCACCCACAGAGGGTGACAGCTCGAGAGTCTCCAGCATCTCCAGACCCTCTGGCAGTGGGAAATCCTGACTGAGCAGACACTGTCAGCCCCTCACCAAGGGCAAGGCCTGGAGCCCAGGGAGTGGATGTGGTTGAGCCCCCATCAGCCCTGCAGAGGCCCAAGCTGTTGTGCAGAGGTGGCCGAGTGCCCGGAGGATGGACAGGAATGTGCGGGGTCAGCAAGCCAGCTGGGAGCTGGGGGGAGGAGGGCAAGCCCACTCCATTCCCCACATCTGGAAAAAGTTGCGGACCAGGAGCCCCACTCCTGCCTGGCCTGCTGAAGGTAGGACACCGCTCTGCTGCTGCCACAGCCTCCCTGCCACTAGCCTTCCCCGCTCTATGGGGTCCACCTGAGGGCCTCAGCCCCTCCTGGTGAAGGCTGCCCCTCCCCGAGGGGAGCGCCCCACAGAAACTCCACCCGGAGCACCCGCATGCCCACACCCCTTACTGCCCTGCACACTTGCTGTGTCACCCCACTCACTCTGTAGAAGTGCAAGTCCCCATAGCAGGACCTGGGTCCACAGCGCCATGGCGCCTGCTCGCTTTGTCTTTCTCTGGCTCTGCTCTCCAGAAAAACAGCCGACCCCCTCCCCCTCCCGCACCACTGTGACATCACGGAGTCCTGGGCTGAGTCTGTGCCCGCCCACTGCTTGGCCTCCCTGTCCCGGCCTGGCTGGTGGGGAGGAGCAGCGGCAGCCCAGGCCCCTGCTCACTGGGGTCAGTCCCTGGAGGGAGGGACCCAACCCTGGGAGGGACCAGTGGCCTGAGGGCGAGAACCCTGGGTCATGTGGGCATCAGTGCCATCCCGGACCCTTCCTGTTGTGCTGGGGTTCCAGGATGAAGGGCCATGCCACCACTCGGACATCCCCTCTGTGAGCAGCTGCCAGAGCTGGGATAGGAGGTTCTCCCCTGGAGGGCCTTCTGGCCCGCAAAGTCCCCAGGAGCGTGGCTGCTTCCTCTTGTTCACCACTGTTTCTGCTCTGTCAGACTGGGAGGCTCTTCCAGTCTGTGCTCCCTGGGAGTAGCCCTGCATGCCCTCCTCTGGGGGCCCAGTGAGCTCCCTTAGAACAAGTGATGAGTACTGCTACCCAGTCATCTCTGAGATCCAGAGCAGCAGCCACGGACACTAGGGTGAGGCTGGAAGGGTGGGTGGCCAAGCCACAGGCCACCTACCTGCGGGGTCCCAGACTGGGGTACCTTGCCCCTGAGAGACCCTGTAGAAGCAGGGAGGGGAGCCCCCCCTTTCCCACAGAAAGCACAAACTTAAAAGATCTGGGAAAACTTACAAGTCACGTAAACAAACACAAAATAACAGACCAAGCACTGTGGACCAAACCCACTCCTGCTTGTTAGGCAAACCTCAAGACAAAGAGAAGGAAAAATCCAAACGGCCACAAAAACCACTGCCCAATCCCTGGGAGCCAGTAGTCTAACCCTTGAACCTGCTGACATCCCCAGGTCCTAGTAAAGTCTCCCAGCTCCACCTAGTGCTGCATGGGAGGGAAGAGCACAGGCGCAGAGGCAGCCACAAGGACAGAGAAGCCCCCCTGGGCCTGACAGACCCAGGCCTGGATGAACCCCTCCTCAAACTGGAATCAGCCTGCGCTTGGCCAAGGCCCGCCCCTCCCCTGGCATTCATTCTGCAAAAACAGGCCCTGCCCAAACACCCTCAAGACAGCTTGGCCCCGCCTGGCCACTCCTCCTGTTTTTCTAACTGGTTTTCATTAGTGGCAGCCCTCCTCCAGAGGACCTCTGCCCTGCTACTGTCCCTGCTGCCCTCTTGTTTCCTCTGAGTGTTTTCCAGAGAATGGAGGCAGAGACAACCAGGGCTGGCTTAGGCCCTGGGAGGGGATCTGGCTCCAGGTAGAGCAGGGAGGGCCTGAGCCAGCAGAACTGGGCTGCCTGGCCCCAACTTCTGCTCCCTCTGGATATCCCTGGCCTCTGCTGCATGGGCCTCCAGCTGCAGACCCCACAGCCCAGGCCCAATTCACAAACCAGAGTGGGGTGTGTTGGACCATGCCTGTAATCTCAGTACTTCAGAGGCTGAGGTAGGAAGAATACCATGCGTTCAAAGCCAGCCTGAGCCACATAGTGAGACTGTATAAATAGATAAATTACTTCTCAAGCCAGATGCAGACATCTGGAATAATCCTGACCCCTTGGACACACCCCACCATCCTGTTCTTTGGGCTTATGGCCAGTGGAGGCCAGGCAGGCAGCAGGAAACACACAGGAGAGGTAAGGACCAGTGAGTGGTTGGTCAGGACTGCAACCAGGTCACCTGCTCCTCCCACAGCCAAGGGCCTGGCCCTGCCTGGTCTCTTGGACTGTGACTTTGCTGCTTGGCTCCTAGCATCTTCATCCATCCAGGAAGAGGACAGCCCAGGACAAAACCAAACTGCTGACCACGCCCCCACCCAGACCAGAGCCTGAACCTTCCTCCTCCCCTCCTGGGGCTGTGGGGTCTCAAAGGCTGAGAAATCAGTGCTGGCACCCATTCCTGGTGACTCGGACATTCCAGGAAGCCCGGCTCATCAGGAAGAAAAACCACAGGCACAGAGACATAGCCAGACATAACTACACACACACACACACACACACACACACACACACACACACACACAGAGTTTCTCACTGTGTCTCCCTCTGCCTCACTAAAGGTCCCGTAGGGTCGTTCAGACCCAGAGACTGCACAGATGGGCAGAGGCCCACACTGCTTATCTTAACCACCTCACTAGGGCTGGATGGGAGAGTGCTTGCCCAGCTTGCACAAAGCCCTGGGTTCAAACTGCAGCATTGCACAATGAATAAATATGTGAAAAACCACACCAGAAAATAGCTTTAGGGCCAGGGATATAGCTCAGCAGCACAAGTGCCTGCCTGGCAAGTGCACGGTCCCAAGTTTGATCCCTGGTACCAAAAAAAAAAAAAAAAAAGCTGAATGTACTGGTACAGATCTGTAATCTCAGCACTCAGGAGGCTGAGGCAAGAGGATCATTGCAAATTTGCGACCAGCCTGGACTAGCAAGGCCAGCCTGAAGTGCATAGTGAGAACCCTACCTCAAAAAGAAAAAAACAACCAGCATGGTGAACACATGTGTAATCTCAGACTACTATAAATTTGACTTTAACCTGGTAACTCAGCAAGACCCTATCTCAAAACATAAAAAAAGCTGGTGTGCTGACACACACCTATAATTCTGACAAGCTAAAGCAGAGGGATCACCATGAGTTCAAGGACAGGCTGGACTGGTTAGTGACCCTGTCTCAAAATGACAGGGAGTGGGGAGGAGAGGGGAGGGGAGGGGAGGGGAAGAGAACGACAAAATGAACTAGGTGCAATGGTGCAGGCCTATCATCCTAGTACTTAGTGCTACCCTGTCTCAAAAAATAAGCCACATGTGGTGGTGCATGCAGGTAATCCCAGCACTCAGGAAGCTGAGGCAGGAGAGGTGCTGCGAATTCAAGACCTGCCTGGGCCATAGAGTGAGCTCAAGTCCAGCCTGAACTGCAGGCAAGATGCTGTCTCAAAAAGACAAAAATAAAAAATAAGGGCCGGGGAGATGGCTCAGTGGAATAAACACTTCCCTGGCAAGCGCAAGGGCCTGAGTTCAATCCCCGGTTCCATCAAAAAAATAAAAAATAAAAAAAAATAAAATTGGGGCCCACCTTCCATGGTCTCCAGTGCCAGCTATTGCTCCTGTCACTATGGCCCATTACAAAGACACTGGCTGGCAATTCTGGAGGTACTTGGAGAGGTCAGGATGCTGGACATGTTGACCATAGTGCTGGTAGCCTTATATAAAGAACCAGAGAAATCTAATACTGCTTTAGATTTTTTTTTTTTTTTTTTTTTTTTTTTGGCAGAACCGGGGATTGAACTCAGATCCTTGCGTTTGCCAGTCAAGTGCTTATCCTATGGAGCCATCTCCCCGGCCCCTGCTTTAGATTTTTTTGAAAGCATGACTTAGAACTTGCTACCCTAGAAAATCCAAAAATCGAGCTGCTTTGTCTAAAATTGGCAGAGATGAAAAAGAAATATGAATCTACTATAGAAGAAAATAAACTGGGGCTGGTGAGATGGCTCAGTGGTCTAAAGCACCTACTTAGAACAAGCTTAGCAAAGCTACAGGGACCACGGTTCAATCCCCCAGCACCACATGCCAGCCAGCCTGCCCCCTGGTGGGCTGAGCTGGCCACACACACACACACACACACACACACAAATAAAAGCAGATTTTAAAAAAAAGTCAATAAGAAAACACAAGGTCCTGAGTTTGATCCTGGATACAAAAGAGAGGGAGACAGGGCTAGGGAGATGGCTCAGTGGAATAAGCACTTCCCTGGCAAGCGCAAGGGCCTGAGTTCAATTCCCGGTTCTGCAAAAAAAGAAGAGAGAGACAGAGAGACTTTTCTAGTTCAGGATATGAGCACAGGTACAGTCAGGCTTTGCAATGAAGGCAACAGTGTTTATATTCCCTGTGGGCAACTGGAGAAATCTTTGCAACATACCATGTTTTTTAAAAATTCTTTTTATTTTAATTTTTCATACCATGCTTTTGCACCATGAATTTTCTGCTCTTCTTTCTATAATGCAGAACAAGTACCTCCTTTGCCACCACTTTGTCTTAGATAACTATGAATGTGCCAGTTGGAATGCCCACGACACCACTGTGTTCTGCTGCTCTGCAGTCCTGCCCTGTCTGGTCACGTCGCCCTGCCTTGCTGTGTGCCTTCACGGGTCCAAGCTGCTCATCAGCTCTTGGGTGTTCATTTCGCTTAACAATGCAGTTGCCCTGATTGTAATTTATATAATATTAAATCTTTCTTTCTATTTTTTCAATGTATTTGGGTACAGGGTCTGCAGGGTCTCACTACATAGATCAGACTCAGTGATTCTCCTGTTTTCACCCCCCACACTGTTCCCTGCCTTACCTAGTTGCTTGGATAGTACAGATAGAGGTAACATAATGTTCTGGGTTCATGCACCAGCTGGGAATGAGCCATTTATCTTGCACAATCATAGTTTATGGGTATAACTATATAGTGCTTTTTTCCCTCAAAGTACTTTTTTAGCCTTGAATTAATTTCATTACTGTCCCTGTGAAGTAGGTGGGCATATATGAGGGAAGGCTGGGTGCTGAATTTTGAGGCCAAAGGCTGATATTAACACAAATTATTTATGAATTGTACAACTCCAGGCACGTTAACCACTCTGAGATTTACTTTCCTCATCTGGTAAATGAGAAGGACATCTGTGCTTCCTACCTCACAGGCTTGTTGCTGGGGTCAAATGAAAATGCATGTGAAAGATTCCTAAGTGGTAAAGCACTAAAAATAAAAATAAATAAAATTGGTTGAGGATATTACTCAGTATGAAGGCTCCAGGTTCAATCTCCAGTACTAGACAGCAAGAGCATGACTGTGTGAGAGAGAAACCAAAGCAGGCAGGAGCCCCCTGGCTGGACTGCTGGGACAGCCTGCAAGGGTGACCAGGCAGAGCCTTGGGAAGCTGCCTACTGGGCAAAGGGATCCACAAGCTCTGGGCTCCCCCAGAAGAGGCCTGGGGTCGTG